GGGCGGTGCCGCCGCGCGCCCCGCCCACCCCGGGCGCCCCGCCCACCGCGCCGTCCCGCCCCTTTTGTCCGCATGTCCGTCCGTGCCGTCCGTACATCCATCCTGTCCGCCTGTCTTTCCATCCTGTCCGTGCATCCATCCTGTCCTCCTGACCSTCCAGCCTGTTGTCCCCTTGTCCATCCGTGCTGTCCGCCTGTCTGTCCAWCCTGCCCGCTTGTCCATCCACCCTCTCCACCCACTTACCCATCTCTCCGTTCACCTACCTGTCCTGTCTGCCCATCGTGTCCAGCCATCCGTCCTGTCCCTTTGTCCTTCCATTTGCCCATCTGCTCTTTCACCTGCCCATCCGTTTGTCCATCTGTTCTGTCCACCCATCTGCCCCATCTCTTTGCCCTTGCTGTGGGCCATCTCCTCTACCACTATCTGTCCGTCCGTCCATCCATCCATCCATCCATCCATTCATCCATCCATCCACCCACCCACCCAGGTGTCCCTCTGCCTGTTCCCCCGCCAGCCCCCATCCTGTCCGTCTGTCCGTCTGTGGGAGGATGGACAGTGGTGGCAGAGCCACATGCAGGGGGTCCCACATGGGGTGTGTGGCCCCATGCAGGGCGCCCCAGATGGGTGTCGAGTGCCCTTGTGGGGTGCAGCTCCCTACGCAGGGTGTCCATTTGGGGTGCAGGAGGTTCATGTGTGGTGCATAAGCCCCATAAGGGTGCGTGGCCCCATGTGGGGTCCCGGTGCATGATGCAGAGCACCCTGTGGGGAGCAGAAGCCCCCGGCAGGGTGTGTGGTGCCATGCAAGGCTCCCYGACAGGGTGCAGGGACCCCACATGGGTGCAGGATGCCCAGGCAGGGTGTGGGGTCCCTATGTGGGGTGCAGGTCCCTATGAGCAATAGATGGTGCCTCGTCAGGGTGCAGAGTCCCTGTGAGAGCTGTAGGTCTCCAAGCACGGAGGCAGATGCCCATGTGGGGTGCAGGGTGCCCAGGTAGGGTGCAGGGTCCCCGTGCAGGGCACAGGGTCCCCATGTGGGGTGCAGTTCCCCATGCAGGGTCCATTCATCCTTGCAGAGTGTAAGATCCCCAGGTAGGGTACAGGTTCCCGTACAGGGTCCCCATGCAGGGTGCAGCATCGCCTTGTGGGGTGCAGGTCTCCATGCAGGGTGCAGGGTCCCCATGTGGGGTGCAGATCCCCATTGCGGGGTCCCTGAGCAGGGGCCATGGTCCCCATGCGGGGTGCAGGTCTGCATGCAGGGTGCAGGGCCCCCATGTGGGGTGCAGGTCCCCATGCAGTGTGCATGGTTCCCATGCAGAGTGCAAGGTCCCCATTTAGGGTGCAAATCTCCATGCAGGGTCCCCATGTGGGGTGCAGGTCTCCGTGCAAGGTGCAGGGTCCGCATGTGGGGTGCAGGTCCCCATTGCAGGGTTGCTGGGCAGGGTGCAGGTCCCCATTGCAGGGTGCAGGGTCCCCACGCGGGATGCAGGTCCCCATGCCATGGTGACCAGGGTGCCCCCCGGTGCGGGGGTGCCCACGTGTCCCCCCCCTGCACCTGCGCGCATGCAGCAGCACACACGTGTGCGTGCGCAGCAGCGGCGCTCGCGCCCTCCCGGCGCCGCGCCGTCCCCCGGGGCGCTCGCGCGCCGTGACTCACCGCATCTGCATCCGCATCCGCATCCGCATCCGCGGCCGGGGCCTCACCCGCGCGCTGTGATTCATCCCGCGCGGCCCCTGCCGCCGCACATGCCGTGCACCGTGCGCCATCGCCAGCCCGCAGCACACACGTGTGCGCCTGCCGCGCGCTTGCACACACGCTGACGGACAGCCTGACACGCGTCCTTGCTGCCGCGAGAGTGCAATTGCACACCGGGCCCGCGAGGATGCACAGGCAGCTCCCCGGCAGCCTGCCACACGTGTGTGCTGGCCCATCCTTGTCCTGTGTTTGCAAGYAGGACTGCGCTTAGGAAGGGGATTGTTGTGCGTGCACACTTGTGTGTTTGCCCTTGCACACCAGCCTGTTGTGTGCAATTCACGTTTGCTCAAATTGTGTCACTGTGGGGCAGCCTGGGGCACACACACACTGCCACATGTGTGCCATTGCTGTCTGCGGGAAGCACACACATAGGTGTCATTGCATGCCAGCCTGTAGTGCACGCATGCACACATATGTATGCATATATCTGCCACTGCACATACAAGAGCTGAGCACTGCATGCTAGCTCACATTGCATGCACKCATGCAAATGTGTGCCATTGCTAACCAGCCTTCAGTACATGCATGCACATGTGTGCAGTTGCACGCTAACCCTCACCACATGCATGCACACACACATGCACACATGTAGCACTGCACCTCATCGGCCCCGCATACACACACACACATATCTGCATGCTTTTTGATGCCAATTATATGCTCTGCTGCACCACATATATGTGTGCACACACATGTGCTCTGCACAGCACCACTTACTGAATGCACATGCATGCACACGCTGTTCTACCCAATGTGCACTGCATGCACACACATGTGTACGTTGCACGTTTCCCCTTATTGCATACATGCACACACACGTGTGTCCTCTTGCACTCTGCCTCTTAGTGCATATACATATGCACACGTATCATTTTGCAGCAACCTGCACTGCACACACTCACACGTGGGGGTTGCAACTACCCCTTATTGCATGCATGTGCCCTCGAGCACATATATGTGCTATTGCACACTATTCCTTACTGCATGCATGCACACACTCACTCACATATGCATGCTGTTGCCCACTACCTGTTACTGCACGCATGCACACACTCACATACGTGTGCTGTTCACACTACCCTTTACTGCATGCATGTGCACACAAGCACGTATGTGTGCTGTTGCTCACTACCCTTTACTGCATGCATGCACACACTCACATATGTGTGCTGTTCACACTACCCCTTACTGCATGCATGCACACACTCACATATGTGTGCT